CAAATCTGATCACGCCGCCATCTTCCTCATGCCAAAATACAAACAAAGGCTGAAACAGGAAGTTCCGGTTCAGAGGAAGGTCGCGCGCTGGACTGATCAATCGGTGGCCGCGTTACAGGACGCACTCAATGATGCAGACTGGGGCATGTTCAGAAACAGCTCCGATGATGATGTCAACGTGTTTACGGAAGCGGTTGTGGGATTCATCGGGAAACTAGCGGATGATACCGTGGAGACAAAGACTATCACAACGTTTCCCAACCAGAAGCCGTGGGTGGATAAAACCATCCGTGACGCTCTGAGATCCCGCACCGCTGCCTACAACACGGGACTCACGACGGGGGACCCGTACAAAGCCGCGTCATATAACGTGCGGACGGCGGTGAAAGAGGCGAAGCAGCGCTATGGGAGGAAACTAGAGTCACAACTCCAACAGAGTGACTCTAGGAGCCTGTGGCGGGGACTAAGGACAATAACGGACTATAAAGCACCAACAACCGGTATGACGAACGCGGCCGTGACTCTGGCAGACGAGCTGAACACTTTCTATGCTCGCTTCGAGACTGCAGCTAAGGACTCCAACAATGCTAGTGTTAGCGGCGCTAACGGCTGCAGACAGGAAGATACTGCCAGCACCGGAAACGTGCTCGTCATCTCCGAGCATGAAGTAAGGAGAGCCTTCAAGAGAATGAACACCAGGAAAGCAGCAGGACCAGACGGCATCCCAGGTCGTATCCTAAGAGACTGCGCATACCAGCTAGCTCCTGTGTTCACTGAGATATTCAACATCTCTTTATCTCAGTCGGTGATCCCCACATGCTTCAAAGAGTCCATCATTGTTCCTGTCCCGAAGAAACCCCACCCTGCTTCTCTCAATGACTATCGCCCTGTAGCCCTCACCTCAGTAGTGATGAAGTGCTTTGAACGCCTGGTCAGAGACTTCATCATTTCTTCACTACCAGACACACTGGACCCACTACAGTTCGCTTACCGTCCAAATCGTTCCACAGACGATGCCATCTCTCATCTCCTCCACACATCACTCACTCACTTGGACACTAGAAGGGGGAATTATGTTAAAATGCTCTTCATAGACTACAGCTCTGCATTTAACACCATAATTCCCTCCACACTCACCACCAAGCTGGAGCATCTGGGACTCAGCTCATCTATGTGTCAGTGGATCTCCAACTTCCTAACTGGCAGACCACAGGCAGTAAGGATGGGCGGACGTGTCTCAGCCTCCACCACTCTCAGCACTGGAGCCCCCCAGGGGTGTGTTCTGAGCCCCCTGCTGTACTCTTTGTACACATATGACTGTGTGGCCACTACCAGCTCCACCACCATCATCAAGTTTGCTGACGACACCGTCGTGGTGGGCCTGATCTCTGATAACAACGAGACGGCCTACCTGAAGGAGATTAGGAATCTGGAGAACTGGTGCCAGAGGAACAACCTCCTTCTAAACGTCAGTAAGACAAAGGAGCTGATAGTGGACTTCAGCACTAAGCAGGAGAGGAACTACCAGACCCCCGTCATCAACGAGTGCCCAGTGGAGAGAGTGGACAGCTTCAAATACCTCGGAGTTCACATCACGCAGGACCTGTCATGGTCCTGTCACATCAACACCGTGGTGAAAAAGGCCCGACAGCGTCTCTACCACCTCAGACGCTTGAGAGACTTCCAACTGCCCTCCAAGGTGCTCAGGAACTTTTACTCGTGCACCATAGAGAGCATCCTGACGGGAAACATCTTAACCTGGTTCGGGAACAGCACCATGCAGGACAGACGAGCTCTACAGAGGGTTGTGCGGTCAGCTGAGCGCACCATCCGCTCCGAGCTCCCTGACCTGCACTCAATCTACAGCAGGCGGTGCTGGACCAAGGCCAGGAAGATGGTGAAGGACCTCAGCCATCCCAACAACAGACTGTTCTCTCTGCTGAGGTCAGGAAAGCGATTCCGCTCCCTGAAGACCAACACAGAGAGACTGAGGAGGAGCTTCTTCCCGCAGGCGATACGGTCTCTCAATCACACCACCACACAGTACTGACCCACACATATAGTTCTTACACACACACTGGACTTTCTGGACTTTGGTTTTGCACAACACTGGTCACTATATTCTTCATTTCCGGTTAATACTTGTACAGCTGCTGTTATTGTGTATATATTTATTTATATTTAGATTTCTTCATACATTCTTATATAGTTCTATATTGTGTATTTTGTTGTACAGTTATTTTATTTTCAACTTTAATTTATATATTTTATCTTATTCTTTCCCAGTTAAATTTACCCTTCATTCTAATTTGTGTTGTACAGTTATTTCATTTTTAACCTTAATTTATATTTTATTCCTTCCTAGTAAAATTTACCCTTTTAAATTTTTCATATTTATTTCCTATCTTACTCATAGCCTTTTCCTTTTTTTCTTTAGGTCACGAGCAGTTGTCCAAGCATTTCACTGCATATCGTACTGTGTATGACTGTGTACGTGACAAATAAAATTTGAATTTGAATTTGAATTTGAGCTTCCCTCCCTCCAAGACATCTACAGGAAGCGGTGCCTGAGGAAAGCGGGGAGGATCATCAAGGACTCCAGTCACCCCAGCCATAAACTGTTCAGACTGCTTCCATCAGGAAGGAGGTTCTGCAGCATCCGGTCCCGTACCAGCAGACTGAGAGACAGCTTCTTCCACCAGGCCATCAGACTGCTGAACACGTCATAGACACCTCAGCTTCACTACTGGAACTTTAACATTATGCACTCCACACTGTACAGTAATGCCACTGTTTTGCACATGTTCAACTCTGTATATTTTTATATATTTTATTTATTGTTTACTCTATTTAATTTGTAAAATATGTGTACACACACACACACACACACACACGTAGAAAAACATTTAGTATACACATCCAGAAACTTTTTTTTTGCATATACTATTATATATTGTACATATATTTATTAGTTTCAGATGTAGCCATTCTTGTATTTTGCTTGTTTACATTATTGTATTTTGCACAACTCTGCTGCTTGTGAAGCTCGCACACAAGAATTTCACTCGCATGTACTGTACCAATGTACCTGCACATGTGATGTGACAATAAAAGTGATTTGATTTGACCAAAAGAAAATTAGATCATGGACACAAGCAGCAGAGCTTTCTCCAAAGCATAGCTGGCCTCTCCCTTAGAGATAGGGTGAGGAGTTCAGTCATCCTAGAGGGGCTCCGAATAAAGCTGCTTCTACATTTTCAAAGGAACCATTTGAGGTTATTTGGGCATCTAACAAGGATGGTTCCTGGGCGCCTCCTGGGTGATATATTCTTTGCATGTCCTACTGGGAGAGACCCTGGGGTAGACCTAGGATACACTGGAGGGATCACGTCTCCCTGCTGGCCTGGGAATGCCTTGGTATTCCCCTGGATAAGTTGGAGGAGGTGCCTGGGAAGAAGTAAGTCTGAGAATCTCTGCTTTGGCGAATGCCCCTCCAACCTGACCCCTTATAAGCAGAAGAATATGGATCAATGGATGGATGGACATTTAGTTTTGTGTCTTTTTAATATTTTTAATAGAAAACATACAACCTTTAGTATAGTGTAAACACAGGAAAGTACATGTGATGCGTGTAATAGTTCCAGGTTTATTCAGCACTGAAATATAAACCGATACATTCTCTATATTTTTTTAAATGTTCTTCATGTGTTACAGTTTGCATTTTGTGCAAATATATGATGATGCATGTGTTCACTTTAAAAGGTTGGTTAAAGTCCTTTGATATTCAGCAGTGACACAGTACAGGCAGCCTTACTGTAACTGTCTGCAGGCAGAACCAGGACAGGCTGAATACACTTTTGTATCAGAGATGTTGTGGAAAGATAAAACGTCTTTTTTTCTGCTGCTATCAAAGCTAAAAATATTATATATGTAAATGTGATTGCTGACATTCTTATTTCATTTTTTTTAAAACATTTTGTAGTCAGCGCCATGTTCAGACTGTTTAGGCCTTTCTGACTTGAGCAAGCCTGCTTTTATTTTTAAAATACCTTCTTTCAAAGCACGTTTTCTCCTCAAGATGTTTTTTAATGTATAAAAGATAGAAGCAGGATGTTCTACAAAAGAAAATCCAAGAGAGCACCTGCATTTGATTTTTCAGCCTGCCATTTTCCTCATTAGCCGTATATTCAATTAGGCTACACATCCCCTGCATTGTACGGCTGAGGAGTGGGTCAAACACTCAAGACACTTGAAGAGCTTCAATGCTTATGCCTGGCTTCATGTTAGATACCAGAAAACTGACTGAAGATTATCATCAAACACTTGTGACTAATCTTGGACTAAATCAGTGACAATGACTTTCTGATTAAATATTCCTCATCCTATATTCTGCTGAGCTCAACAACTTCTCCATTTTATATAAGCTATATCTGCCAAACCAAGAACTCGAGGGTCTGCATGTGCACTTGATCATTGTCCTCAAGATATTAAAAATTGAAGTGGCAAAAGAAGAAACACTGAGATGAGAAGATCCTGCCAGGGATTAAAATGAATCTTCATTAGCAGCTAAAAGCTGAAAATCAGCAACTAAATCAAAAGAATGCACTCTGATGAAAGCTGGAAAATTACTGTGGATCAAAACAAATGGAGTCGCATTGACAGACAATAACCTTAATCCGTCCCTGCACAAGAGAAACAGACTATCGTTACAGCAACAAATCAAAGCTGGAGCTGGAGATGCAACTCCCTCAAAATGCTACCGTATCAATGACATACAGTCATGTGGAAAAGAAAATACAGTCTTTAGTTCTACGGTTTATAGAGCTCATCAAATCAACTGTGTTTTTATTTCACAACATCTAAGCCAAAATAGACATGCATTACACCAACTATTTCCATACAAATTAAGAAGACAAATAGCTGCCAGGTGTGTCTAATCAAATGTACCTAACTGATCATCACCGACTGTGACCAACTCTGTAAAAGCAAACATTGTTGGTCTGGAGCATTACATGTGTGTGTCAGACACATTTCCAAGGAAGAAACACACGTGAGAACCAAAGGTTTCCGGTCATCAAGGTCAGAACATTTCCAAACATCTTGTACCTCATCATTCTAGAGAAAAATAGATTATTAACAAGAAGAAAACATTCAAGATTGCTGTAAATCCTCCCAGTACTGCAAGTCCCAGCAAATCCACCTAAGGCCTGATTGTCCAACGATCAAGAAACTGCAGAAAATTCTAGAACTACATTTAAGAGTCTGCAGGCCTCAGTTAGCATGCTAGATGTTAAAGTTTGCAACTTGTCTGTACAGAAGGGCTGAAATGAGAAAGGCTTCATTGTAAGAACGGAACGAATGGGTCTCATTGGCGAACTGCACACACACAAACCTGTCTGTGAATTCTGAATGACTTCTGTCATTGCTGGCATCACTTACAGTATTATTTCTTGGCTCCATCCCACTGATGCTGGAAAATCTGGATGTTTTCATTGTAGTGAGTCTCTCACATGGGGCTGACAGATTAGGCTACATGAGCCCGAGTCCCAGTCATATATAATAGGGCATGTGCTTTCTCCTCTTCCCTTTTCCTTGCTGATAATTATGTCGTCAGCAAAGTGGACGATGGAGGTGTTGCTGTGGGAGGAGACAGAAGAGTAGGTGAAGAGTCTGTACAGGAGTGGACTGAACATGTAGTCTTGTGCCTTGACTGCCTGAGGTCTATCTGTCAGGAAGTTCAGGACCGGCAGAGCGAGGGTGCTAGTCCAAGAGCTTTTTTCCAATTCTATTCAATTCAGCTTTATTTATACAGCACCAAATCACAACAACAGTCGCCTCAAGGTGCTTTATATTGTACAGTAGATCGTACAATAATAGATACAGAGAAAAACCCAACAATCATATGACCCCCTATGAGCAAGCACTTTGGTGACAGTGGGAAGGAAAAACTCCCTTTTAACAGGAAGAAACCTCCAGCAGAACCAGGCTCAGGGAGGGGCGGGGCCATCTGCTGCGACTGGTTGGGGTGAGAGAAGGAAGACAGTCAGTTGTCATCCCAATGTGCCTGGGTTGACGGTGTTTTACTGTGCCACTGAAGCCCTTGTATTTATAGTCACAGTTGGTTTGTTTTCTCTTTATGACTTTCAGATTTTGAAGGCCTGCAGTGAAAAAGCAACTGGGAGTCTGGTGGCAGGGTCCCCTCTGGTAAACGACTGGTTCTTATATAGTGCTTTTCTACTCATCTTATACAAAATGCCTCACTCAGGTTTTCATACCAGTTCATACAAGCACTTTTTTCTACTAAGGTGCTTTCTATCAAACATCCACACACAAGCAGACCCTGATCGGAGCCCAAGTAATCTCTGGCTTGAAGAATGAAGCAGCAAGGGATTGAACCACCAACCTCCTCAGCTACAGCCTACACGACAGAAAAACACGACAGACCCACTGTGATCATCTTTATTTGGTACGGTTGCTGGACACACAGAGCTGCAGCTCTCCCGCTGCCAGCTCAACCTAACACACAACAACATTCGCCAAAAACTCTAAACTTTTAAGCCGGCGAGGCGTGATTGCAGGTGTCGCTCAGGTGGGTCAATCGCACCTGCATCATCACCGCAAACCACGCCCCGCCACAACCGCCCATCACCGGACTGTGGCCAGGGAACCACCCGGCCGAACCTACTCCCCCTCCCCCAGGAGCGGGAACCGACCCCAGCCCCTGGGCCAGCAGCAGGGAGGTACTATCTGTTCTGGTGGCCGCCCACGCATCTAGCGGTGCCGGTGATGAGGTGGGTCCGGGAGTCGCCCGCGTATCCAGTGGCAGCCCCACCCATGTGGCAAGCAGCGGCGCAGCCGGTGTGGCATCCAGCATGCCGGACGCCGGCCTCTGGTGGAGGTGAGGCCGCTCTGCTCAGCACATCGACCTCGGGCTTTGGTGGCGTGGACTCCCCTAGCACGGCTGGAGCGGCTCCCTGAAAGTCCATGTTAATGATCCGATTTAAACTCCCATCTTAGCAACGCAGAACCTGAAATATCTCTGCTTACATTTACATGTCAGAAGCTCCTGAATCTTTGAATGTTTCAGTCTCTAAATTTCCAAAATCACGGTCACTTGATGGGATCTCAGACTTGAATCACACTGTAAATTCTGTTTGTGGTTTGGCCTCAGTGACGAGCAGATGCAAATAAAAGAAACGCTGTGAGACTGAATATTGCATTGTTTCAAAAAAAGACAACATGTCTGCGACAGACACCCAAGCAAAGCAGGGCTAATTTGTGCAACCTTCATGTGTTCACTTGACAGAATAAAGCCAAGCTCATGTGGAGATGCACTTATTTGCAACATTATATTGGTGAAATGAACCTTTATTAAAGAGCAATATTCTCCATATACCACCTGCTAGTCTCATAATGAGAGAGGATTTAAATGAGGGAGAGGCGCGCCTTTCTTCAGCGGCTGCCTGTTTCTTTTCATCACTGAGTGCTTTATAAAATACAAAGAAGAAGCAGGGAGAGCGAGAAAAAAGACAATAACATAGCGCACAAAGAAACCATTTTTCATTGCCAAGTTTAACAAGGTTTTTAGAAGTAATAACTACATTAAGAAAAAGAGTTGTCCTCTTTTATTCTGAGAAGAAAAAAATAAAGACACAACCAGCCAAAGAATATTTGACAGTGAGATCATCACATACACCACACACCTGCCTCACTGCAGCTTAAACTTCTTGAATTTCTGATTAAGTTATGAGTGACATTAGTTTGCAAACCTCTGCACTGGATGAAACATAATAACTGCACAAACACGAGTGACTGATTAATGTCCCTGACATGTTAATGACTTAAACTCCTTCATTTGCTCACTTTAGGAGCTGCCAGAGCGGAGCGTCTGCCATCTTCAGCATTAGCCCTGTGCATGTCTGTGGACATGCCTCCCCTTTGCTCCTCTTTAGTAGAAGAGTTTCTGTGCTGGTGCTCATTGTTACCTCAGGCCACAATCTGGGACGTCAGTCTCAAATTCAAATTCAAATTCAAATTCAAATTTTATTTGTCACGTACACAGTACGATATGTAGTGAAATGCTTGGACAACTGCTCGTGACCTAAAGAAAAAAAGGAAAAGGCTATGAATAAGATATGAAAAATTAAAAAGGGTAAATTTTACTAGGAAGGAATAAAATATAAATTAAGGTTAAAAATGAAATAACTGTACAACACAAATTAGAATGAAGGGTAAATTTAACTGGGAAGGAATAAGATAAAATATATAAATTAAAGTTGAAAATAAAATAACTGTACAACAAAATACACAATATAGAACTATATAAGAATGTATGAAGAAATATAAATATAAATAAATATATACACAATAACAGCAGCTGTACAAGTATTAACCGGAAATGAAGAATATAGTGACCAGTGTTGTGCAAAACCAAAGTCCAGAAAGTCCAGTGTGTGTGTAAGAACCATATGTGTGGGTCAGTACTGTGTGGTGGTGTGATTGAGAGACCGTATCGCCTGCGGGAAGAAGCTCCTCCTCAGTCTCTCTGTGTTGGTCTTCAGGGAGCGGAATCGCTTTCCTGACCTCAGCAGAGAGAACAGTCTGTTGTTGGGATGGCTGAGGTCCTTCACCATCTTCCTGGCCTTGGTCCAGCACCGCCTGCTGTAGATTGAGTGCAGGTCAGGGAGCTCGGAGCGGATGGTGCGCTCAGCTGACCGCACAACCCTCTGTAGAGCTCGTCTGTCCTGCATGGTGCTGTTCCCGAACCAGGTTAAGATGTTTCCTGCCAGGATGCTCTCTATGGTGCACGAGTAAAAGTTCCTGAGCACCTTGGAGGGCAGTTGGAAGTCTCTCAAGCGTCTGAGGTGGTAGAGACGCTGACGGGCCTTTTTCACCACGGTGTTGATGTGACAGGACCATGACAGGTCCTGCGTGATGTGAACTCCGAGGTATTTGAAGCTGTCCACTCTCTCCACTGGGCACTCGTTGATGACGGGGGTCTGGTAGTTCCTCTCCTGCTTAGTGCTGAAGTCCACTATCAGCTCCTTTGTCTTACTGACGTTTAGAAGGAGGTTGTTCCTCTGGCACCAGTTCTCCAGATTCCTAATCTCCTTCAGGTAGGCCGTCTCGTTGTTATCAGAGATCAGGCCCACCACGACGGTGTCGTCAGCAAACTTGATGATGGTGGTGGAGCTGGTAGTGGCCACACAGTCATATGTGTACAAAGAGTACAGCAGGGGGCTCAGAACACACCCCTGGGGGGCTCCAGTGCTGAGAGTGGTGGAGGCTGAGACATGTCCGCCCATCCTTACTGCCTGTGGTCTGCCAGTTAGGAAGTTGGAGATCCACTGACACATAGATGAGCTGAGTCCCAGATGCTCCAGCTTGGTGGTGAGTGTGGAGGGAATTATGGTGTTAAATGCAGAGCTGTAGTCTATGAAGAGCATTTTAACATAATTCCCCCTTCTAGTGTCCAAGTGAGTGAGTGATGTGTGGAGGAGATGAGAGATGGCATCGTCTGTGGAACGATTTGGACGGTAAGCGAACTGTAGTGGGTCCAGTGTGTCTGGTAGTGAAGAAATGATGAAGTCTCTGACCAGGCGTTCAAAGCACTTCATCACTACTGAGGTGAGGGCTACAGGGCGATAGTCATTGAGAGAAGCAGGGTGGGGTTTCTTCGGGACAGGAACAATGATGGACTCTTTGAAGCATGTGGGGATCACCGACTGAGATAAAGAGATGTTGAATATCTCAGTGAACACAGGAGCTAGCTCACTCCTGAGCTGCATGTTTGCTTTGGTACAGAGGAGCTAAATTTGTCTCTAAATGGCATGGTAGTTAAAACACACACACATTACATAAAAGTTATGAATTGAATATGTGTCAGAATTCTGGCTCCCATGTGGGACGCATACTTCTGATGTATCAGCCACACCATCAGTTTCTTCTACTTTAACATCTCCACCATCATGGGCAGGACCAGAAAGCTGCCAAAGGATGTCAGGGACGGGACTCTCGATCTGCACAAGGCTGGAATCGACTACAAGACCATCAACTGCCTTCAGTCTGGAGCTCCATCCCTCGCTGGGATGATCATGAGAAAGGTGCTGGATCAGCCCCAAACTACTGTGGAGGAACTTACACCCTAATGGAGTGATTTCATGCATCGTGGAGCTCAACAACAGGCCCATCTTCAGTTTGCCAGTGAACATCTAAAGGATGCGGAGAAGGCTCAGGAGAAAGTGCTGATGAAACCAAAGCAGAATCAACATGTGCATGACCCAAACAACCCTCAGTCAGCTTTTATCTAACGTGTTATAACATGTGTAATTGTTTTTGGCTGATAGTCTCGTTCCAATAACATGAAACTACAGTAAAAACTGTTGTATTTTTTCTAAGTGAGCAAACGTAGACATTCAGCAGGAGACCCAATGATTATTCCCCGACTGTAGCTTCTGATTAGAAAACTTCCACCATGACTCCCAGTAGCCTGAACGTGCCTCTGCTGTGCACATGCTTGCTGTTATTCTTCCAAAGAAAACATTCTGTGTACATTGTTGGTTGTTTTTAAAATCCACAGTTTGCTCCGAGCAGTTCCCACTCATTGAACACTTTCCCCACTGCCTGTCATCTAGAACACAGAGCATGGCAGAAGTCCATGCTGACAGTTCCATCTTGCTTGCCATGATGCTTCCTGCATCCTATGTAATCATAATTCCCTTTTACACAACCTAACCTAACCCCCATCCACCTATTTTCTCTTACATCTCTCTGTCTCTCTAATCCTTCCATCGCTGTCATCTCAGATCTTGGTGGACACCACGGGTCAGTGCTTCACTTTCTGAGGAGACTCCACCATCCACTGGGAGCAGAGCAGGAATTTACATCTCATGGCAGAGTTTTCCCCTCCATTTGTTATAATGTCAGGTCACTGCACTGCTCTGCTCGCAGAGAGGGAAAGATAATGGCTTCAGCACACACCCTCCCAATTTATTACACACTCACTGGCTCTGACCTTGTCTGCAGTTTGGGATGTGTTCAGATTTTTATGTCAGCCTGCACTACTTTAACTTCCCAGTTAGCTCGTCGGATAACTGTGGTGCGGCTTTCTGTTATCATCGTTTGACTCAAAGTGATTTTAATTCACATGTACATGTTTTTAGAGGAGAATTAAACAGTCGTCAGCTATTTCGCTCCGACCAAACCAGTGAGTTTGGTTTTAACATAGTCAGGACAGGATACTTCTACCTGGTTCTTCAGGGTGGTGGATCAATGCATCCAACCACTGTAGGCATGTTGCTTCATTTCCTGGCTCCCTGAGTGTCAGTGTGACGATGTCCTTGGGTGGTGCACATATAAACAAGCTCAATTCAAATGGATTCAACTCACACAGGACGCCAACTGCAAATGAAGTTCTTAATCATTTCACATTTATGCCATGAGATCATCTAAACGCTGCTGTTGTTGATGCTGAATAGTGAGACACAAAGGAGATGTTTTTAGCATTTTCTGAGATGAGTTCAGCTGTGGCTCAGGAGGGGTCATCTACGAATACAGTGTGCTTTGTTCCTGATACCGAAGCCCAACTTGATCCCAGCGTCTTCATCAGAGTGTGAATGTTAGAGAGGAAACACTTAAAGTGCTCTGAGTAAAGTACAAAAGCTCTACGTAAAGAACCAGTTACTGCTCAGCTGTTACAAATATTACAGGATTCGTTGTCCATCATTAGTAGTTTTACTCATTTATATGGGAATGATTGCTCTAATTTGGGTGTTTCTGTATTTATCCTTAAACAGTGCCAAATCAGATTGGTTATGGATTTGACAGCCTCCAAACTCCAGAGCAGCAGAGCGTCAGGAATAATCATCCTGTCTCAAAGGTTAACAGAAAAGACTTTTGTAACAAAAAGTTAGTTTTGTTTGATTAATATCAGTGGCAGCTGCAGCTGCTGTGCAAACAGTTCAGTCCCTGTGATGAATGCAGTCCATCCTTATCCCAGCATTTCTCTCCTAAATGATGCTGAGAGTGCTGTGTGGAGACAGACAGACCCCCCCCTGAGAGGCTC